TAAAGTTGAAATTGTAAGAAATATTGGAGATCATCCAATGGAAATATTTTTTGCTTTAAAACATAATATAAGGGCAATGGTATTCACAATTTTTTAAAACGCTTATTTGAGTGTATGTGTAGTTTTGTTTAACTAAAGTGCAAAAATAAATTACTAATATTTTACTGATAGGTAAATAAATCTAATATTAATTTGCAATAAAGTATTTAACACATATTATCATATGAAATATATACATACATCTTGGTTCGAAGAAAAAAAAAACAGTAACTTCAATTAAAAAAAAATAACATTGACTAGTAATGTCATTATTCTAATTTTAAAACGTACTAACTATGTCGCTCTATAATGACATTTTTCATAGATATATGATATTTGCTAAGTATTTGTATTTAGAACGCAGAATTGTGTTAATAAGTAAATTTTGCTTCGCAATAAGCTTAATTTTCTCTGAAAAAAAAACAGCCACAAGTTTTGTAAAATTAATATAATGTCAATTAGACCTGATTAAGTTGTTTAAGTACTGGTAAAAACACTACGTAATACTTACTTAAGAAATAAAATAGAGGTGAATCGAAAATCTTCTTCTTGTCGAAGTCACTTAAAGATAAAAAAAAAGCATCATCATTTAATCTCATTAAAATCTACTCAAAATTTCAAAATGTCTGAACGGTTAGAATAAATTTAAAAAATAAACACTGCAAGAAAATCTAACTTCATAAACGTACTGGCAAAGCTCTAATTATGAATTAAATATTTAATTTAAGTTGACTTCCAGGAATATCCTTTGTCTGGAGAGGATTTAAGAATAAAGAGGATGGAGGATTAATCTGCAGTGTAGGAGAAAATCCACGTAGTTGTGGGAAATGTAAACTTTAATTAACTAATACCATTTATGTATGTATTATTAATGCGGTTGTCTATAATTAATGTAATATAATAAAATTGAAAGTTGACAATGTCTGTACATTAAAGACATAAAAAAAAATATGTATGGAGTCTTAATAAGGGTAATGTATGTTTGTTCCGATATCACGAAAAAACTGCTGCACCAAATTAGAGACGCTTTTCATAGGTGTGTACTTGAAGGTATAACTTAAAATTTGGTACATTTTATATCGCAGTATACTATCTAAAAGCGGTCTATTTAATTTATTTTCTTCTTTTTTTTAATCCATGCATACACATACACATACATAGGAACTAATGGGCAAAAAGGTAGTATTATATTATATGTATATATCATTGAATCTAACGGAACAAATCAACAGTAACAAGCCGAAATCCAGCAATAATTTTAAGGGAAACTGAGTAAGTTTTCTCATGAATCATAGTAAATATTATGAAAATTATTTTTTAATTCTCCATATATCAGTTGTTAATTATCCATTGTTGAATATTGGTCTCTCGCATAAGAAATGATCCTAAACCATTTGCATCCACAGAGATGCTAAAAACATTTGAGCTTCAGTCGTACAAATCTATTCTATATCCCCTTTTTGTAAGACCCTATTTACTACTTTATAGGTATATATCGGAGTAATCTCAAAAACCATACAGTAGTTTATGTCGATATAACGATACAAAGAATCTTATCTCTTTATAATATTAGTATAGATTACTGAATTCAATATACTGAGTGGTTTGTGAATAAAGACTGTACGCTAAGTGACGTCATTATGTAACAGAATATATATATATATATATATATATATATATATATATATATATATATATATATATATATATATATATATATATATATATTCTTTATTGCACTAAAACATACAGTAACAACAATAAGTTAATAACAATGTTAGCAAAGGCAAACTTATCTCTAAAAGAGATTTCTTCCAGTCAACCTAACACATACGAGTATATAATATATCTAGCAAAAGAGTTTTTTTTTTATGCAACTTAGAATGGAAAACAAGCTGACGATGGACAGTAACTATCCCGTATAAACATGAACAGTACTATGGACATAACAGAGTTCACTGTTTCACTCATGATACCCCCATACGTTGCCATTCCTGAGAACTTACCCTGTAATTCACTGCCATATTACACCCTTCAAACAGAAACACAACTGCTTCACGGTAGAAACATAGTACAAACAATACAAAGTACAAAGAAACATAGTAAAGTAGTGATAATAATATACACATTAGTATTAGTAGATAGGTATATATCGAACACCAGACTACTATGTTTATAGAAATGCTAAAACTTACCTACACGGATTAATTTAAATACCCAGAATAAGTCCTTTTAATAACTCGTTATGAAATATTTAGAGCAATTACTCAGTCTGAATGTTCTCGGAGAACCAAGCTATTAACTAAATATTTTATCTTAATTACAAAATGGTCGACGGTTGAATTTTGTACGTCTTGGAGCTGTTGAGATGGAAAATTATAATGCGCTGTTAAGTCAAGACAAAGAAGCAGGGTCAGGTTTTGTAAAATTTATTGTTTATCCATAACAACAATTTTAAGTATTTGTACTAAAATATTTGAAGACAGTGAGGTCGATTCTGAGGCGCTATTACCCTAAACTCATCTCTAAAATTAATATTTCAAGTTGATATTAAGGTAAAGTCTTTATTCTAAGAACTACTCGTACATTTCTAATAGTAAATTTCTAATATAGTATACATATAGAAAATTATTATAAATTTAGTTTATGGTGGTTCTTAAAATAGCAATTTCACGAAATTATTAAATTAAAATATTATGTTTAGAGGAAAGGCTTTCTTGAATTAACTTTAGTGTGATAAATATTGTGATTAGAAGAAGGGTGTTAAGAAACAAGCGATGAATGAACAAGAGATCGAGAAAAAAATGGCTGAAAAAATTATAATAATAAAAGAGGAGTGAGTTAAGATAACAGATTTGTGAAAGAAGAGCACATACTATGAGAGAACACAAAGATATTATAAGAAGAAGAAGAGGACTAGTAGATGATGTGGTGATAAAGACTAAAAAAGGAAAACTGTATTTTAGTTTAGTCATTCATTTCTAATGAATTGAAATTAAGTTGATGAAATTATCAAAAAAAGAAAATTAGATAAGGAGCCGATTTTTTTATGCCACTTAGAATGGCAAATAAGCTGACGGCTCATCTGATGGAAAGTAGTAACCGTCGCCTATAGACATGAGCAGTAATACAGACATAATTGAGTATACTGTCTCGTCCATGATACCCTCCATGCATTGCCATTCTTGAGGACTAAAGTGTTATTCCTCTGTATCCTGTAAAATCACTACCATATCTCACCCTTGAAATCGAAACACAGCCATGCAAACAAAACTGTTTCACGGTAGAAACATGAATGGGACAGAGGTACCCAAGCAAACGACTTTTGTAGAAAGTCTCCCTCTTCTAGTTCTCCTCTTCCCGATTTTAATTGAACTTACATTGGCTAAATAGATGACGTTTCGAAAAATGTACCTTATAATTAATCAATTAATTAGTATGAATGGATTGATAATAATAGAGGAAATAAAAGAAATCTGTTTTATTCTGGTTATAAGGCGCTACTTTGTTTTTCTATTTGTCTATACAGCAAACTAGCTGTATTTGTCATTTCTTATATTTTAATATTAATATTTATTGCTCATTTTTAGTGAACTAAAAATTAAATTAAAGTTTCTAAATGATACTCGGGTAACTACTTCTGAACCTTGAATAATTAAATAGAGTCCATGAAAGTCCCACTACTAGTTACGGGTTTTTCCCAAACTTCCAAAAGAGCAGGTAATTTTAATGTTAGTTATTAAGTTGAATAGGTAGTTTGTATATTTTTTATAGTGTGGTATAATTTAGTTTTTTTACTCTTACGCTAGTGTTCTAGGACTTTGATATATATATATACTCATAAAGTTACTATATCTACCTTTTATTAAATGCACAAACCTCTATGTAATTTCTTATATTCTTTATAAATTAAAATAATACTACGTATAATAAATGAAATGAGACAGCGGTATCACCATTTTGTTCTTTTTCATTTACGCGAATCTGTATTTACTGATGAACTAAATTATCATTTATTTGGAACCCAAAGGCTGGGTTTTGTAACACCGTAGCCTACCTACAGTTTGATATGTCTTGAACAACATGAAAATGGTAACCCCGCCTGCGCTGACGGGATACGCTGACGGAGAACCAGTGAAGGGTGATGGCTGAGAATGAAAACAGGTTAGTTAGCCCATCATGATAAATTCATCGGGAATTAACCATGATAGTTACCAGGGAGAACCGCGAGGAGGTCGACCTGGTTGGGTATATTGCTAGCAATAGGATTCTCAGTCTCCATTACTAACAATCCCTTTTCCCTCAACCAGTGAAACAGTTATCCATCCACCTTCAACAAAACAAGATACGAGTAGTATGAAAGTTTCTATAATATATTCCGTCATTGGAGAGCAAACCCGTGTCTTGATTAATTGATTGTTGAAACCCCTTAATTAATCACTCGAAAGCTCAATAATCTAGGCTTTTAAGTTGGTTTTATCATTGAAACTTTACCAATCAAAGTTTAGTCGTTAGTATCTGTAATAACAAATCAATGATGTATATGATAATAAAAGAGTCAAAGTTATGTTCTTAATGGATTCTACGAATAAAATATAGAACATTGGCCAAAACGGGAGTTAACGTTATCGAATGCAAAATAATATCGAATTCGGTCCAACATTTTACTGATTTTGAGATATTGCATAATACGTAATATAATAAAAAAATGTGCGCAAATTGATAATCTTCTGTTTACAAGGTCACTTAAAAACGATTAAAATAAATTAAATTAAAAGTAATAAAAATACTTACTATCGGATGCGCCCTGTTGCTACCTGTTGCTTGAAAAGTTTATTTATTTAATTATATGCAGAGATCATTTATTTATGATTTAGAAAATTACAAGCCCTATTTGATTTTATAGTGCGATAAAACTAACTGATGTAGTGTGTATACATTATATTTAATTTTTGTTACAGAAGCGACATGGCATGAACGGTCGGGTGGGCGCGACATGCGGCGCGGGCCGCTCGCGCAACCGGCCGCCGTCGCTTTCACGCTTTCGCTACTGCTGCGTCTTGTCAACGCCGGTGTGTATGCACTTTTATTAGACTTAAAAAAAGAACCAGCAACCTGTTTCAATAGAATGTAATTTGAATGTAAATAAAACGAATAATAAAATTATTGATCGGACCATAAAAAAGTCTGCTGATATACAATAGTAGAAGAAATAATTTCATTGATTGATCATATTTTAATTTATTAATTAAAAGAGTGTTTCTGTGATAATTTCAACGAGTTTCATGGTAATTTTTCATTAAATTGTATTGAAACAAATTATATAATTTGCCGTGTGGTTCCGGCATAAAATGGGCCGCCGCTTTCTTTTCGTGCTTGTCATAAGAGGCTACTAAGGGAGTTTAATGTCACGAGATGAGCAGCCCCTCTAAAAACATCATCGGGGCCTGACTGCCACCACTGACACCAGCCAAGCGTAGCAACTATTGGCCAAACTCTCTTTATGGAGAAGATGGAGTTCAGCAGTGGACAGTTAATGGCTGATATGGTATATAATTCTTCAAAACGCCTGCAACCTACTGTCAACCGTAATTATGTTGTATGTATTATTGGGTGAGGACATTCATTTTTCTAATGAAACTGAACAATTTCACTAAAGAAAGATTTGATTAAAACAATAAGCATTTTTTTTAATTCACTTTGGGAGGCTTTATATTTTCTAATTTTTTTTAATCTAAGCTTCTTTAAGGAAAATACACAGTAACACTGAGAGAAAACACACCATTAAAATAATGATTATTACTTCGACTCCACTCTGTATATTTTAATTTAAAATATACATAAAGGTACATAAATGTATGATATAAAATAACTTTATATCTTATTTATAAATAGCTTTTTTACTGTCGCATTTACTGAAATTAAGTTTATCTCATTTCATTTTATACTACACAAGAGTAAAACAAATTCGCTTCAGAACATTTCAATCGTTTAAAATCCTCGTATTAAATATTCAAGTTCTTTTTTATGATTTTAACAAACCATCTACATGTTCCAACTTGTACTCGTTACGAATTCCATTCGCTATAAGTGCAATATCATGCATTGTTAGCTTTATGCTCCAGGCGTATTTAAATGCGCCATGTTTCTCAAATATAATTTTCAAATGGAAAGAAAACTTTGTACGCGTATAGCAGAAATTTCGATTTGATTTTTAAAATGCTACAGATTGCAGCAGTAGTTTTCTTTTTTCTATTTTATATGTATTCGATGAGCTCTAAGCATAGATAGACAGGACCTAGCATTATCCTTTCTACTTATGACACTAATAAAGTCAACTTGTAACTCTATTTTTTACGTAAGAGTTCTGATTTTAAAAGTAGCCAAAGAGCCAAGTAGGCCTTTAAGTTTTTTTTATTATTCGTTCTATGTGTCTTTGGAAAAAAAGCAGATTCATTGATTAGTTTAGGAGTATACTCTATTATGACCACAGTACCATTTATGTCTATAGGCGACGGTTACTATTTTTCATCAGGTGAGTCGTCAGCTTCTTTGCAATTCTAAGTTGCTTAAATAAAGTTGAATAGTTCCTTATAAGCATATTAATAATTTCAATTTTAGCATATAAAATAAAATTATATTAGTTTAGATATTTGTAGTAATACATTGTTTTCTTACATATGTAGGTACATAGTACGTTACTATGTAAATAATGACTTTCACTAGTCATTACTTATATGCTTATTAATTGCTAGTCATATGCATACTAATAATGGGTTCACAACTTATAATTTAGTACAATATGTATTATGTGCAATATTCAATAATTTTGTACTAAATTTTATTGAAATTGAAACTCACTAGTAGCTGGAAATTTCATCGGCCATATTGAATTATTTTACAATATGGCCCTGTGTTGGGGATTATCGATGAAATGGTATTGAAATTTACTTTACTTTTCCATTTTTGAAATTTATCTTCAATGGAAAATGAATATTGCGTTCAATTATTTTATTTCTGTACTAGCCATTGTCCACAGTTTCTCACGAGTGGAAAATGTTTTTCTAGATCTTTTTTATAACTGAGTTTAATAACTCAACTAATTTATTCAAGAATTTTAGTGATTGAGTCCGTTACCAATATACCATTGAGGCAAAAAAAACTTAGTTTAATTTTTTTTATTTTACATTTTTAAATAATACAGTGACAACTTTTATAATGTACTTTTATTATGGTTTTTAAATTCTGATTTTTTTTATCGATTAAATAATAATAGAGTCATTTTATCAATGTTATAATTGAAAGGCTCCAGTTGCTTTACAATTATACTTAATTACAATGATATGTATCATTCTACTTATTCCAAAGCACTATATTTATATAGACTGGAATGTAAAACGAGCTGATGGTCCATTTGATAGAAAGTGGTTGCTTAATAAAAATAATATTAATGAAATTATATTTAGCGTAAAACATAGCATACAATGTTTTAACAATATTTAAGAGTGCACATGTCTTACGAAAGTATGACTTTAGCTTTTACTCGTAGCAATGCAAATCAATAATTTTACACAGTTATATATTAAGTTTATTACTTTGACTTTACAGAATATACTATAAGTTTATTATTTCTGAGAGCTAACTTATATTTCCATACCTTGATATTACATTACTATAAAAAATAATTAAAATAGAGCTATATAAGCAAGCCAACAGAAATAGGATTAAATTCGAGGTACTTATTAAAATTTATAATATTTATAAATCTTATTACAATTTATTACAAGTAAATTTTGCTTCACAAAAAAAAGGTTGACTTCAATCGTGATAATACTCATACATACACTTATTTTAATTGGAAAACCTATTTACTGAACATTTTAATAAAATAGCACAGATATCAATATGAAATTATGTTATTTTATATAAGGAAGAATTTTTATATCAGTTTATAAATGATGGAGTTCTGAGGTAACAACCTAAAAAAAAATACAACTAAATTGAGAATTTCGTCCTTTTTTAAAGTCGGTGAAAAACAAAAATGGCTAAATGAATTTCAATAAAATTTTATAATTGACAGTATATATTTATATAATATAAAAAAAAACTATTTTCAGTATTTTTCACTACAAAAATACATTTCTGCTTTTCCAAAGATTGACTGGGAGAGAATGCTATATAGCATTCAGTTTTTTGTAACAAACATTTTATAGTAATATGGTGAATAAAGAAAATAAAATAAATAAAATAATATTCTATAATTTATTAGAATCAGTCAATCAATTATTAGATAAGTCCAGCTTTGAGAATGGAAAAAACCTGTATTAAAGTCACGGAGTACGTAGAAATTTGTACATGTACTTGTAAAAAAGAAAAGTTACAAAGGAAAAATAACAAAGTATAGGCGGGCGTATTCCTTGGAGGGATATCTTCCGGCGAATCCTGTGAACTAGAAAGGAGAAAAAATATCTCTAGTATACTGATTGGATGGTTGGGTCATGTTTATTGTTGGTAAAATAATCACATTATGTTTTTACGAATTAAGTTTTTGTGTATTATTATGTATGTGTATTCTTTATAAGTACATTGCATGTTTTATACCTTTCACAATAGACTTCAATAAGGTTTTCCATTCCGATGTATTTTTTTCTTATGTCAGTTGTGAATCGATTTACAAAACTTTTTCTTTATCTGAAAAGAATATACATAAAGATTGGTCATATAATCAAAATAAAATCAAAATAATTTTCGTAACTTTTTTTTTATTCTAAATTATTATCAAATTTTACTTTTTTTAATGGTTATACAGGTATTATTCTCAAATAATGTGTTTTTCTGAAAAATGTTTTATTAACTTCTGAGCATTACTATTGACAATATTGTTGTAGTTTTTAATAGTATTAGTTTATTTAATTTTGTTTATATTTGTTTAATTTAGTATTGTCTAATTTTGTGTTTCGTTTACTTATATTTTATTTGTGCAAATTTTACTGGCTGTCAAATTACTATTTAAGAATATAATTATGTATTATTTTAGCTGTTTGTTTGCCTTAAATAAAAAAAATATAACTGGTTTTGCCACAATCGAAGTCGGATTTTTTGTGAAACACAATATTAATTACTTTGAAACATACTACTAAGAGAACTTTTTTAATTTTTTAAATTCGGATTGAGCTGACGTCTTACGTGATGAAAAGGGGTAACCATCCACTGTTGAAATCAATAACACCTGCATTAACCCATTGAGAGGCAAATACAATTGCTTGAAAGCAGAAACAATTATCAACATTACCGAATTTTACTTACTAGCATACTACAATCTTTTCGTTCATATTACAGAATCAAAAACTTCACAGCATTTTTAGAAACAGTGAACAAAATATAAGTATAGGTGAATCAACAGGAAAAATAATATGTTTACATGTATTTAAATAAATTAATTGCCATTTATTAGTTTCACTAATAATTAATAACGGTTTGATCGATTTGAATTTTTTCTCGTTTTATTCGTTGTAATACAGAGATGGTTTAAAAGAAAAAAAATCAGAAAAACTGTAAGTTCTGTTGAAAAATTAAAATAGATAATTATGTATTGAAATCACTACTTTGAAATACTTTCAATAGATGGCGTTGTAGGTGATAAGACGTTTGTCAGGTTAGCTAGTATATAATATAAAAAAGTGAAAACATAAAAAAAGGTTTCTTCACACTATTTTGGTATGTAACTTTAAAAGGAGGAATATACTAATTCTATTTATTTCCAGGATCAATGGGCCCCGGTGTGCCTGAGAATATAACGGTGACGTTCCTCAATCCTACTACGGTGAAAGTATCGTGGTCCACCACAGCGGAGCTCGTCGAGAAGTATGACGTCACATACAAGCCATCAGACGCTAGGTGAGGATACGCTAGCGATTACTCCCTCTCCAATGCTTTTTCTGTGCTTTTCTGTCCCTTTAGTTATTGCTTTCTTAGCGGGATGAGCTGGTGCACATTATTAAACCTATTTCTGTAACTATTATATATGCGATGTTTAGATTTGATGTTTTTTATTCTTTCATACAAAAACTTCTGAATGGATTTGTATGAAATTTTGTACATGAAAAGATTATATAATAACTTAGCATATAACATATTTTATATACTGAATCACACAGACGAAGCCGCGGAATGCAGCTAGTAATATACACTCTTACTTGATATTCATAAAAACAAAAATTTCCCTATTAGCGTATTTCGTGACTTCTTTACACATTACTTTATATTAAAAGAAAAAATACAAAATAATTTAATAACTGAAATAGGTTTATTAAATGTATGTGGTTTTAATGAATAAGGAAATAGTAAAAAGTACCGCCTTTAGTAACGATGCCAATTAATATTAATATATTTTTACTTCAACCTGTATAATATATTTCTATTCGACAAAAGTATTGCCTATAAATGTGCGAGGGTTCTCATACTTCACATTGTGAATTTAAATTTAGATTACTAATACAGTAAGATTAATAAATTTCAAATTATGCAAGTGTAGGCGATAGGCTCGCCTCTTAACATATAGGATTTTAATACGCTCAGTGGGGGAGAAAGGGATTGTTAGTAATGGAGACTGAGAATCCTATTGCTAGCAATATACCCAACCAGGTCGACCTCCTCGCGGTTCTCCCTGGAAACTATCATGGTTAATTCTTGATGAATTTATCATGATGGGCTAACTGGCCTGTTTTCATTCTCATCTATCACCCTTCACTGGTGCTCCGCCAGCGTATCCCGTTAGCGCAGGCGAGGTTACCATATCATTTTCACCCATAAAAAAAATACGCTTAGTGAAATATTAATGTCGCATGTTACGTTCATTCCAATAGTTACAGTCGCCAAATGCCTCTGACTACTCCGTGAGGGATAGTTGTGACGATAAAAGAACAATCAATTTTGACGAATGATAAAAAGTATTATCAGATTCCATTTATTTTAACGGTCGAATATACTCGTACATACTATTAGTAATATTAGAAAATAGGTTTTTTTTATACTATACTATTGTGTTCAAATTAAACCAAGTGCCAACAATCTCTGCACCAACAAATAAACAAACAAACGTTGACTGAGAAAGAATGATTGAGTCCATTTTTTGTACCAAATTTTTTTTCTAATGCAGTCAATAAAGAATAAATAAATAAATAAAATAAAAAACAGACGAACAGATATGCCGAATATTTTTATAATGTTACGACATAAAGAGAGCGCATCCATTACATGTCTGATCTTTAGAAGAATGCATGATGTCTGTGATGAAGTATTGTTTTATCATCATCATATTACTTGGTAAATGTCCACCACTGAACATAGGCATCCCCCAGGAGGAGTTTGTCAGTAGTTGTACAGGCGGGTTGGAAACCGCAGTTAAGGCTTTTGGTGTAGCGTATTTCCTTATACATAGAAAATATCTTATATTCATATATTAATAAGAATGGTTGCTTGTATGTACATTACTATAATTTATAGTCTCTTATAGTGTATTAGTATATTTAAGTATAACATTAGCAAATGTGTCGCGTAGCATACATAAAGAAAATACACACGAATTGAAAATTTCTTGCATTTTGATATCAGTTGACAATCAAATTTATATTTCTTTACTATTTCTATTAAAAGGTAAAATTTCTCGTTTTTTATAGATCATTAAATCTAAATTTCGAATCTGACCTTCATAAGTATAATTAATGAAATGCGCCATTAACAGCATGGAATGATTTTTATTAGAAGGACTTTCGTTTTTAGAATTTATATAAATATATAATATTTTTATTTAAAAGTTTATGTGAATACGTAAGTAAGCATTAGTAAATTCGTCAGAAACTTTTACTTGATTTTGTTTTTACTTTTAGTCGTAAAATGGAGTTAGAATTTTTAAATTTAAAGATACCTTACAAATTAATTTGAAAACTTTCACACATGTATAATCTTATATTATATAATAGATATAAAAATTATCGCTTCTTCTTTTTAATTGTAGTATTTCAAATTGACAACTTAAATGCGTAGGTTATTTGCTTAATGAAGGGCTTACTGGTAGAATATAGCGATAAACTTAAGAGCAAATCTATGGGATTTTATTCACCTGCCTAGAAAACGACTATTAGGAATTCTTAGAATTCAGCAAAAGAGCATGCATTGATGGATATAGAAAGAATTCACTGACCGGGCTAACTTGCTGGGTAGTTGAACATCTTGGGTGCATCCTATGGCTTTGACTTTTTTCTACACACCAACACTAGTTATATTCACATTTAGGATGTAAAACACACGCGACTATTACTATGCATAGATTACTAGCATTTTTCCACTTTGAGTATGAGTGACACAAGCTTAGGTACTAGTGACCGTTATAATAATATTACTTTTCGTCTGGCATTCAAACACAAATGTCACCGATCGGCGCAAAAATTTGAATTGAAATTGGTAATAAGTTAATGGGAATAGATTATAACAAATGAATAAAGTAATTAGGAATGGATGTCGGAACAGTTTCCGGTTAGAGTTTGAATTTTTGAAAACCAAGATTGTAGGCGATCTGTAATTGTTTTCAACACATATTTAAAACTATTTATTTAATTACATATTTGTTTGTGGTCTGTTATTTTTTGTTTATAATCCTATTTGTATTTGTTTTAAATATACGCGCTTTTATATGGGCGGTAATGAGAGCGCAGATGACAGCCTTTCGCGAGTTTTTTTTAATATCTTTGTTTTTTCGTTTGACTAATTCAACAAATTATTTATTTATGTAATTTATTAATTTGCATAAATTCATTTAAAAACTTGAGGATTTTTAGTACCACTTAAACCTCTCGGGCTTGTGTGTGGCACTTTACATTTTGTTCTTAAATAGTAAATATATATTTGTTTATATATAAGAGTGCGTCACATACCCGTTTTTCTTTTTTTTCTCAATGTCCTCTACCCAAAAGTTGTCATGAAGAGATTGCTTAGCGATAAGGCTGCCTTTTGTATCATTTCTTATTACAGTTAAATGTATTTGCTTTTTTATAAATGGTGCAATAAAGTGTAAATAAATAAATAAGTACTGACATTAATATTCTTTTGTTTCTTTTTTTTGCAAGGTTGGACAGAATATATATTTTTAGTTTAAATTTTAGTCGGTAGGTAAAAAATTAAACAATCACGGTTTGAGATAGGCGCTTGTTCGCTCGTCATAGTAGTTTTTTGTTCGAGTAGTGTGTTTGAATGTTAGATGAAAACAAATGTTTTAATGGCAGTCACTAATACCCGAGCTTGAATCGCTCATACTCTAAATGGAAAAATACTAGTAATCTATGCAAATTCGTGTGTGTTTTACATCCTAATTGTGAATCTAATTAGTGTTGGTGTGTGGAAAAGAAGTCAAAGCCATAGAGTGCACTAAGCTGTTCAACTACCCATCAAGTTAGCCTGGTCAGTGAGTCCTACTTTCTCCTTTCTATATCCATCATTGCATGCTCTTTTGCTGAATTTTAAGAATATGTAATACATTAGTATATGTAATATATGTATCTCCAATACATTGTAGGGTACTTTAAAGAAAAAGGGAATATTTTAAAATGCAATAAAATACGATCTCTGTTAGTAGTGTTTACTGTACTGCGACATTAAATATTTATTGTTAACGTGTTACTATTAATTTTACATGTAAATATAATAATACCCGTTAGTATAACAAAATGGATAAAGATTGTTAATCTTTGAAATTTCACAGCACAATCACAAAATTCATTAGTTTTAGTACTGGTAGACAGGTTATAAATTACATACGGATGTGTTCGCGATTTCTAACTAATGTTACATATTGATGATTGTCATAATAAAATGATCAAAGCACAAACTTCGTTTACGCCGTCATTCAACTTCGCGACTCTTGAGCATTGAACTTAATATTAAATTTCGTAGCAAATTAACGCTGAGCAACTTTGCAATAGAAACTTGATATTGAAAGTCATTATTTCCCTTAATGAATAGTCTTGCTTGTCTAATTAATAGCTAGATGTACAAATTAAAAGAAAAATATAGACAACAGTAATGATTGGCCAACGTCGTCTTTTATTCTGTGTCTTTTTAAGATTTCGTATCTAAAAGGTAAAAACGAATCTTATATCTTAGCAACTACTTATGCTGTCGATTTAGAATAATTTTTATATTGTCAGCTCATACACATTACAATGAAAAATATTTATTTTATTTTCTTTACTAGAAGCTACAAAAAATAGCTCTGAAAATTACCAAACTGACTTACTTGTCTGATTGGTATTGCACAAGGAATTTATTTGTACATTTAAAAATTACTTTTTATTTATTTTTATGTTGCGTCGCAATAAAAATAATTGAAAAAATCTTTTATTTTTGCTAGCTATAAGAAATGGCTCTGAAAAATTCCAAATTAACCTACTAGTGTAATCGGTATTGCATGAAAGGAATTCATTATCACATTTTAATTATTAATATTTTTTAAAATTTTTATGCAGCGTAATTTTTCAGTTTTTAATTATGTCAGAAAAACTCTTTCTCCTTTTTGAAGTTAGCGAATGGAAAATTCTGAATTAATTATAATTTATAAAGTTCAATGTGAATATTATAGGAAAAATAAAAGAAACTTAGTTATGCAGTACAGTTTTTAAGTATTATGGCTGAAAATAAGAAATTACGAATTGTAGTATAAATAGTATCAACTATGAAATATCTATATTGCATAAGGAATACAATATTATTCAGGTAATTTTATCTCACAATTATATAAGTATAGTTGTGTACGGAACCCTCGGTGTCTGTGTTCAAATTATACCTGACCAGTTTTATATATAATAAGTATTTTACTAAATTCGTCATATTTCCTTGTGATATAT